TGCATTAACGAGGCCACGAGTTCCTTACACCGACTATTTAACTGTTTGGGCATCTTTATATACCAAAATTGCCTTTATCTACTCGTAAAATGAATAATTTTGTTTTGAAACAAACAGTTGTTGATTTACAGTATGCGGGGCCAAAGGATTTATAAAGATTTGAAATGCCACAAATTGATTCAGTGTCAAAATTAATACAAATGTCAGTTCCCAGTTTAAATAAGTTTCAAGGTGACAATGTGTCAACGCTGCGAAATCGGTTTAGTGCGTTTACATGTCGATAAGTGATTGGAGCGTTTGCAAAACATTTTATTTCGCATAATGCGTCTAAATTTATCAGAAAGCAACTTATGTGATATTTTAATAACAATGTTTATATGACTATTAACCATAATAAGAGAGTAATGACCATTTTACAATTTATATATCACATTAATATGAAACTGCAATAGAGCAATTGTTTGTGATAGAAACCTAGGCATAGGTCGGGGAATTTTTATCGTGATGACGTGCACGCCACTTTGTTTGGCGTTGACTATATGTTATCTTTTTATAGATAACAACACAAGCGCCGGATATGGTCACTATACTTAAATTTTTTCTACTGTTACACGAATAACGCGTACCAAGTTTTGATCTCACAGTTCTGAAACACCCTGTATATGTTTACTTAAAAATCAGCTTTCAACCGCGTCGATAAAGTTTTTTCTACATCGCCTGTCCTCTACAAGAAAATTAAGCGATAGTCGTGTTTCGTAGCGTCAAATTGCATTTGTTCATCGCACAATACGTTGTGAAGAGCCCTACAGATTAGCAATTTTTTTACATTTTGATCGGTAATTGGAATCTTTCTGAAATTTCGATCAAGAAGATATGTAAAAATGGGTTGTAGTAATAAATTCGTTATTAACTGGGTATTCTTTTTTTGTATGTCACTTAGTAATTAGCGAACTGTTGATAAATTAAGTACTCTTGCGGTCTGCATTAACTTACTCCGACCCAGTCTCAGGATAACAAATGAACCCTGAATTTTTTAGTGAAGCTCGCAGAGATTAATCAAAATAATGCAGAAAGAGCACAATACCGGTCATGGAGTGCACATTACAGTTTCTTCTTTTCTCCAGCTGCTAATTTAAAAATTTAATTAAACTACTTTTCATGCTTGAATGCTAAACACCCCTGTTCTTTTTGCTATAACAAGAAAAATGCCAGAAACCTCGCATAAATCGTGTCGGATTCTTGAGATAATTAAAAAGATCTCTTCGCTCTTCCTCTCAATGTTTAGCTTCTTGCTAGTTGTCGGACTTCTTTTTTAATTCAGACTTCACTAGTAGCTAGGGCAACGTTACCAGATAGCTTCCTGCGTGCAACTACGTGAAGGGGCTTATAAAATCTCATTAGAAACGTAGTCATTGGTAAAGTTTTGGAATCTAATTTTTTCTGTGGTTGATTGAATTCCTTAGACCTGAGTTCTTGAAAAATACCTATGCAACGGGTTCAACTTTGGAAGTCATATTAAGACAAAGTACGCCCGACCTTTTATTTGTTGTTTTCCACATTTTTCAATAATGTCTAGATGTACTTTTGAGTAAGTTTTGCAGCAAACTTCAAGAAAATTGATCAAAAAAGAATCTGTTTTTATGTTGTGATAGACTGCTGTAAGTCAAAGTGAAGGCTACTTTAGTCCCTTCCAACACAATCGTTTACGTAATCCAACTATACGGTCCAACTAACACTGAATAAACGGTGGCTTTAACGGTTGGTTGAACGGAAAAAAACAACTCTCGCTTTTTAAGAAATCTTAACGTTCTCCAAATGCATCTGGATACTGGGGGAAAAAGATCTAAAGCTCACCTATTCCAGTAGCGTGTGTAGTAGGTAACATTACAGCAGCTTACCTGAAAAATAAAAGAACAATATGTAATTCCTCTTTAATTGAACGTCAATGTTTAATGGGTCGAGTTTTGCGTCCATTGTAAGCAAAAAACTTATATGAATGTTTTTGTCTGATGCACGGTTTTCACATAGAAAAATGAAAACTATTTATTTGCATAGTGACACTGGCGGATTTAGAGAGGGGGCGCGGGGGGCGCGCGCCCCCACTAGACGTCTGACATTTGCTTTTGCAATCTAACACCCTTGTGTTACTTTCTGTCACATCATGGTGACAGAGGCATACTAACTAGAAGTTATAGCTATAGGAACTGAGCAATAATGATTTTTTACTATCCTTTGGTATTCCAAATGCTGTCCCTCTTTGACATCACTTGTTTACAGCACAACTCTTACGATTTATACGTATATACGAGTATTGTGACTTGTGACAAATCTAAGTCTGGGTAATATATTAGCTATACATAATGCACTTATAAAGTGATTTATGTTCTCTTTGTTGCTCAATAGTAATTTGAAAAGTGTGTAAAGCTTGACTGATTTTGTTCGGGGTTGGTGTTGCAGCGGAGCACTATGTTAAATGAATGCCTAAATTGGAAATGGACATTTATGAGATTTGTTTAGCAGTGCGACTGTGGCCTGTCTACAAACTGCGTCGATCGATGATCTTAATCCATATCACACTTCCCGCATCCCTTCTCGCGTACGTATGTGTCTATTTATGTTGCTATATTGAATTCGTTTGAATCACAGAGCTGCTGAACTGTACGTGAATATGTACAGCCCTGTATTCCTGTACTTGTTTAATACAAACATACATTATCAAAATAATTACGATCTAACAGATATAGTTTTTTCCAAGGATTTCCAACATTTCTACATGCGACCAACACCGGTTCGAAAACTGAGAAAACAACTATGCCGTAAATCTAAGTTCGACAACGAAAGTCCGAAAATAACTGTAAAATCTATATTGAATTTCTAAAACCCTAACCCCTACTGAGCGGGGCCGTGGCAAATGCTTGTTCCGGAAGTTGGATCCAGCATACAACTTCTTCCCGTACAAGTGATTGTACATGCGTTAAGGAATACCTCAGTAGCGATTGCCGGGCGGCGGTAGAAGTCCGTCAACGGACCACTTTAGGTCTATTTAATATCATTAACACGCAAAAAGAAGGTGGTAGACAAGGAACAGTCGACCGAGGCGGTACCACCCTGTAGCCTTTCGCATAAATGTCCGCATGTTTCCACACCTAGCTATGCAGTCGGTTATCTTCCAAAACAAAGAAATTAATGATGATGGATCCCTCGAGTACTAAGAATTCCGGATGTAAGCTCACTCCACTCTCAGAATGTCCGGGTGGAGGGTGGACTCGAGGAAACAACATCGAAGATAAAATTTGTTTCAGGAACATCTGCGGGATTAACAGCAATATAATTAGCTTTGGTTGGCTCAAACAAGACCGATGCAGCAGGTCGTGCAGTTAAAGCGTTCGCTCTTACTCAAGGGCTGACCCAGCTGGTGACGGGGCCTGCTTTTTTTGTCCCGCGTCTCGTCACATGCCAGTATCCTGCTGAATCTCTTTCTGACCACGCATCCTGTCCCTTACAGCTCTGCTGTCCTGACTCCCTTGGGTAACTCAGACCACTGTGTTGTGAAGTTTAGGTTTCGGTCAGAACCCGCTGTTTCAACAGAAACTCGCACAGGCCGCAAAATTTGACTATACGGACATGCCGACTGGGAGGGGCTCAGAGACTTCTTCTCTACCTTTCCTTGGAGAAATGCCTGTTTCACTGACGCGTATGCGTCGGCTGTCTGTTCTTGGATAATCGAAATTATCCATATGGGAATGGAGGAATACATGCCTCATGGACGTGTTTGTTTTCGCTCATTCAGACGTGTTTGTTTTCGCTCTGACTTTTTCGTATTTTTCTGTGGTTAAAACTGGTCGTTTCTGCACCAATTTATACGTGTGTGGTGGTCGTAATGTGCAGTTGCTGTGAACTATACTTTGATGCAGTGAGCTGCACTTAATCAAGCAGTCATGGCTACAAACTGTGCTAGTTGCCATTCATTGGTAAATCGCTCGAAGCCAGGTATACCGTGCGATGGTTTTTGTGAACAGTCTTTTCACATTTCTTGTGTGGGAATTCCATCAGATGTATTGAAGATAATAAAAACACCTGGTTTATTCTGGTACTGTCCTACATGCTCTCAGCAGAAAAAAGATTTTGATCGAGTATTTATCAAAATTGATGATAAAGTAGATACACTTATTGCTGATGTTTATAATATTTTCTCCGAGGCTAAAGGTCATCTGATAAATAAGGTTGATGAAACTTTGGAACAGACTGTCTCACAAAGGGTCCCGGGTCCAAGTGCCTCATATGCAAATACCTTGAAAAAGACTGTGAACGTGATTGTTACGCCAAAAAACAATGATCAGTCTCATTCTGCTACGAGGCTTAGAATTAGTCAGTCTGTTGACCCTGTAGATAACAATATAAGATTTTCTCAGGTGAAAAATATAAAAAACGGTGGAATACTGATCAAATGTGAAGGTTCGGATGATGCCAATAAACTGAAGGATTTGGCGTCGCGGCACCTTTCTGCCGATTATGAGGTGATGGAGGTGAGGAAGTTCAACCCGCGCTTAAAAATTGTTGGAATGTCTCAGTGTATCGAAAAAGAGGAGTTGTGTACAATGCTGAAATCTCAAAATAATGCGTTTCATGCTGAAAGTGAGTGTAGTGATTTAAAAGTTTGGCCAACAAAAAAATCAGCTACTGTTTATCAAGCTATTTTAGATGTAGATTGTACTACTTATGCTAATGTTCTCAAACAAGGTAAGGTCCTTGTCAATTATGATAGTTGTGCGGTTTATGACGCAATCAATTTAAAATTGTGCTTCAAATGCTGTGGGCTGAATCATTATGCAAAAAATTGTAGAAGTAGTAGTCAAACCTGTGTAAAATGCTCTTTGGATCATAAAGTGTCTGATTGTCGATCTGTCAATCTGAAATGTATTAATTGTGTAAACGCCCGTCATTCAAAAACAGATCACGCTGCCTGGGATACAAATCAATGTACAGTATACAAAAATAAATTAAATGAATACAAAAAATCTATAATCTATAACAGGTGACATATAGCAACTATCCTGTGTAAATTTAGATTCTGGAATCGAGCATAATGAAGATATTGCTCAATATGATCGAACAGACTTCTGTATTTATTATCAGAATGTTAGAGGATTAAAAACCAAATTGCACACTTTATTCAATGCGTCCTATACTTGTCCTTATGATCTAATTGCTTTGACTGAGACTTGGATTGATGATAGCATCCATAATAGCGAGTTTATGAGTAGCGAATTTAGTGTTTTCAGATCAGATAGGAAATATGTACAAACTGGCCAGACTAAGGGAGGTGGAGTTTTATTAGCGATACATAAAAAATATAAAGGAGTTGCAATTGATTTTCAATGTTCAGTCTCGGAAATTGATGTTGTTGGGATTAGAATTGAAATCATTCGCTGTACAGTTTACCTCCTCCTTGTTTATATTCCTCCAAATCTTACTGTGGAGACTTATGAAACTTTTTTGAAGACATCCTTACATTAGATTGTTTCAAGCTTAATGATACTATTCTTTTTCTGGGGGATTTCAATATCCCTACATATATAAATTACCTCATTGATAGTACTTACTATAACAATTACATTTCGGTTGTCAAAAATATGAGCCACTTCTTCAATTTGAGGTGAGTGCTGCATCCGATATTTAACTGCCTATCGATGCCTATCATCCTCCTCTAGAAGCACGTGTGTCTTTTCCCTGTCGCATGAGAAATTTCCATACAAACAGTATTCCGCAGTATAATTTTAAAAAAGCAAACATCCCGGCTCTTTATAATAGCATCATGAATTTAGATTTAACTCTCCCGTTACATATTACGGATATTAATATTGCCTGCGATCTTTTTTATAAACGATTGTATGTTGCATTTGATAGACATGTTCCTTACACATTGCCGAAAGATAACAAATATCCTCCATGGTTTTCTCGCTCTATTATCTCAAAAATCGGAAAAAAGCATCGTCTCTGGAAACGATACAAGCGAACAAGTAATTTGTCAGATTATGAATTATTTAGCAGTTTACGAAGAACAATAAAAATCGATATTGACATGGCTTATTCAAATTTTGTTGAAAGAACCGAGCGCGCTTTGGCTCACAACCCTAATAACTCTTGGTCTTTCGTAAATCATCGCAAAAATTTCGCCAATATTCCTAGCAACATGTTTTCTGAAAATACTGAGTTGAAAAATCCTGAGCAAATAGTGAACGCCTTTGCAGCATATTCCAATCTACTTATATTTCCTCCTCGGAATATTTATCTGACTCTGCCTCAGTGAACGATAGTTCTTGCCTATCTATTATAACAGTTCATGAGAAGCATGTACGAAATGCTCTGAATAAGTTGAAACCTAAATGCTCCACAGGTCCAGATTCCATACCGTCTTTCTTTCTTAAGGATTGTTCTTCGGTACTTGCTCAGCCCTTAGCATACCTTTTTAATTTGTCTTTAAAAACTGCAACCTTTTGTGACAAATGGAAAATGTTGAAAATTACTCCAGTTTTTAAGAAAGGCGATAGGTCACATATTGAGAACTATAGAGCGATTGTTATCTTGAGCAATTTGGCGAAAGTTTTTGAGTTTGTACTTTTTGATGTCGTGTTTTCTCATGTAAGTCGTACCATCTGTACTGGTCAACATGGTTTTTATAAAGGTAGATCAACATGTAGTAATTTAGCATGTTTCAAGCAATACGCTGCGGAGGTTTTGGACAAAGGAGGGCAGGTTGATGTAGTCTATACCGATTTTTCAAAAGCTTTCGACCGTTTAGATCACGGTATTTTGATACAGAAGTTGTCAAAAATTGGTTTAACGTCTAGATTTCTTGATTTTTTCCAGTCATACATTAATAACAGACATTTACGTGTAGATTATCGTGGTTACAAATCATATCCGGTATTGGCTACGTCAGGCGTACCCCAGGGTTCAGTCCTTGGCCCTTTGTTATTTCTTATATTCATTAACGACATAGTAAGTGACTTGCGGTGTGAGTATTTGCTGTATGCTGACGACCTCAAGATTTTTAGATGTGTTAATACCTTAGATGATAGTTTAGCATTGCAAGCAGATCTGAACCTTGTACATCAGTGGTGTGAAGTTAATAATATGCATTTGAATGTTGATAAATGTTGCACTATGACGCTAACACGCAAGTTGGAACCGATAGAATCTGTCTTTGAGATTGGAAACAGCTCGCTCCCGAGAGTTTTTTCGTTCAAAGATTTAGGTGTTTTGTTTGACCCCAGAATGACATTTATCGAGCAGATAAATACTATTGTAGCAAAAGCGTACAAAAATCTTGGTTTTGTTATCAGAAACAGCAGACAATTTCATAATCCTAAAACTTTAATCTTACTATATTATGCTTTTGTTAGATCTATTCTCGAATATTGTTCTATTATTTGGTACCCGGCTTACGATGTACATTCCCATAATCTTGAGAGAGTTCAGCGACGTTTCGTGAAGTATTTGTGGTATAAAGAAGATAGAGTTTATCCTGAAAGGGGCTTTCGTAATGACATATTATTAAGCAGATTCAATCTGCCAAATTTAACGAAGCGCAGACATTTATTCGCTGCTACCTTTTGTGTAAATTGCTCGATGGCAGCATTGATTGTTCTTCACTCTTAGAGAAAATTTATTTACACATACCTAATTTGCGTACTCGTCATGGTAGCAACAGTTTATTCTATTTACCTGTTCCTAGAACAAACTTATTGTTGTTTTCACCACTCTATGTTATGTGTGGCATTTGTGAAAGTGCACGTGCACTTGATATCTTTCACTACAGTAAAGACAGCCTTCGAAGGTATTTTCTAACTGTCGGCTGAGCATACTGTACTTCCTGCCTGTTCAATGGAGTGTTCCGTTCAGGCAGTGTATTGAATCTAAATAAATGAATAAATAAAATAAATACTGCTGACATAATAGAAGTGCTTGAATGTGTCAGTATTTGCATCATTCACTTGATTTGTTTAATGGGCAGTTCAGAGTCTTAATCCTTAAGCTTATTACATACTAGTAGATCCCATTGCAAAATTTGTCTATAGGCAGTCCTAGAGACGGTCACAAGACACGATCTATAGTTGGTCTACAGACATCCTTCTTTGTCTTGTTTAGCGTCCATACGATAATGTGAATTTTTTGGTCTCATGTTCGTTTGCGCAATCTAAGACACATTGTTTTTTGTGGAAATGACTGGGATACGTTTTTTATGTTTGAATCTTTAATATTATTACACTAGTTAATTATAAATGCCTCGTACTTATTTTGTTCTCATATAATAAAATATTGGCTTTCTGAGGATTTCTGAGCAATTTCCATGTTTTTCTTTTTCAAGCACGACCACTTACAACACAATGGATTTAAGGAGCAATAATAGGATAAATTCTAGAAGTTCCACTATAGTTGAAAAATGACCAGCCCCAAATATCGTTTGCCCCCTCCCCTAGACGGCATCCTGAATCCGCCCTTGTATAGCGATATAGTCATATTAATGATATTGCTATGGTCATGCGGATAATTGGTTTTTATATAATCAAGCGAAAACCGTGCAGCGGATTGGAAAAATCAAGGGACCCAATTTGCTTAGAAATAATTGGGGACTCCAACAATAATTTTTATTTTAAGAGCAATCGGTGACGTGCAATCAATGTCTGCTAAAATATGCAGGTGAAATGCCACAAATTCAATAAATGTAGTATATTTGATAGACAGTACGAGTGTGCCAAATTTCATTAAAATGTCTAAAGTGGTATTGCAGATCTTGATAATAAATAATATATTATTGAGAACTTTACCACTCTCATTCTCAAAAGTTAAGTTGTTTAGAACATACGTATAATGGACTTAAAGATCGACCACTTTAACATTGACTTGAAATTATGATACACCGTGTGTATTATTGGTACGTAATGTAGCATTTATGGTGGTTGTCTAGCCATACAATATGCTTGGCATATACTGAGTCACAGAAAAAGGTAAAGACCTACGTATGCTTATTAGAATTCAAGAATTTTTCACACATCGATTTATCTTGCCATGAACAACAAGTGGTCGGGTTTTTCTGGTAAGTTTTTGTGGAGGCTGCATGTATTGTTTGGTGATAAAGAAACATTCAGTTTTCGTATATTTTCGGTGTCAGTTAAATGTAAAGATTGTCCACCACGATCGCCTGACCTATCTCCAATTGAAGATGTCTGGGACATGAATTTGCAACACAGACTTTAGCAGCTCTTACTCACGAAATTGCAGTAGCCTGGAATGAGATACCTCAACAGGATATCGACCGCGTTATCAGCACGATGCTCAGGTATGTCAATGAGTGTATAAGAAATCGTGGATCCTCAACACATGATTAAGTCAGCTTCTGCAGTCAGTTGACGAATGGAGCTGAAAATCTAATCATTTCACTAGTAAGGGACATTCAACATATATTCCAAAAATTATTAAAATCCGATAAGCATACGTAGGTGTTGACTTTTTTTTGTCACTATTCGTCCAATAGTATTCCAAGCACAAGTGGTTTCATTTAGAGACCAAACAAGCTTGGAGGAATATCAGCATGAAAACCACATGATAAGTTTTGACAGTCATGTTCTGGTAACTATTCTTCAAAGATGCGCATCGGCCAAATCGAATGACCATATCAAGTGTCAAGAAAGTGTCGCTCATTCTTATGATCTAGATAAATTGATTATGTCGCCAACTGCCTACAACAAAAATTGATTTCCAGGGCATGCTCAATACTTCAATAACAGGTGATTAATTGTAGAGCGATGAGGATGGTGTGTGCTAACAGCTTCCAAAAATTAGCAACATGCTCCATTTTACTGATAAAATGGTATGCCTGGACGTTTACAGCAGGCATATATGATCAAAAATTGTGAGATGAAAAACAGCATAAATTAAGCGTATTGTAGGAGAACGGTAACCGAAGTCTCATTGCAGTAGATCTACCGTAAAAACGGTAGATTTAGCAGCATTGCCCTTGATCATTGACTCTTTT